GTATTCAGCATGTGTTCAGTGTGTATTCAACACGTGTTCAGTGTGTATTCAGCATGTGTTCAGTGTATATTGCTCTTCCAGTTGAAAGTCACCTATTTAACACAATGAAAAGTTGTAATTTATGCAGCAAATCAAATATTAATGTTCCAACACATCATAGCTCAGAATGTGGAGGAGAACGAACATCTGTGGACAAGCAGACATGATTACATGAAAGCTTTTTTGCTCAAGTTTGACATTAAATTTTTGAAGTGGTGGTTGAAGAATATTTGCTTTCCAATTCGCTGGTTAATAATCTTGAATGAAGAAAGGCACAAGAGGCACTTTAAGACTACGTTTGTTAAAGAGAAAAGAGATGGATCTTAATCAAATCAAGTTCATTTGTTCTGTCAGTGCTGGAAAAGTGTTTTTCTTCTCATCTAAACTCAATGAAATTCCACTTTGGTTTTTTWACTGCTGAAGACGTGAAGAAATTTATTACTTTTAATTCTTTCTGCAAACTTCTTTGCTCTTTTTAAAGACAGATGCTCTTAAATAAAAAAGAATAAAAAAACAGAAGAATAAACACAGACTGGTGTTCTAACATGCCCAGCTGATGGTTTCAGGCCTGTGCAGACTTCCAGGTTTGTCATTAGTCAAACTAATTGTTAACATTCTTATAAAAGATTGTTGTTATTGGCATCGGGGTCTGCAGGCTGTTACGATATTACACTCAGACAAAAACACCTCCCAGCTTCTCAGCTAGATATGTTTCTTTATGTGATGCTGTGAAGCTTTTGTTTCTTTCAGCACGACTGATWCGGTCCTAATCTCCTGTCTGCTGCRTGTCTGATGATGACGAGAAGCAGCGGATAAGAATGATGACACTCTGATCCACTGACTGCGATACTAATTTTTCTTTGTCGTACACACACACAGACAAACATATTGCATSCCGGCAAGATGACTTGAAAAGAGAGATTAGCAGTTTCATTAAGTTTCAATTTACTCTTGGCTTTTTGCTCCTGATGTTGTTTTCTTTCTTCTGTCTCAGATTTATTAGAAAAAAAGGTCACTCAGTCTCCAGCACTGGTGTTTGCACACATGGACATGGGGATTAAAAAGTACCCCGCTCTCACGTCCTTAGTATTTCACTGTATTTTGTGTTCAGAGTTTATCTGCAAAATAGCAGAAATCTTGGTACC